TCAGTCATTCATGACACAGTGTCACTAGTGACTGACTTTAGAAGTGGGTGGGTGACACCGCATCTTCATCGTCGTTATCGTCACATTGTAAAAGGTAATAAAAATAGAAGCTTGTGTGTTCGTAGTCTTTTGTAAGACTTGAGGTTCGTAGCAAAAGTGTTTAAAAGGTAAAGTTATAATAAAGGTTCGATGTGTGACCACCAGATCGTGTAAAGTTGATCAGACTGAGTTGTACAAAGTAAAAAGAATAAGAATAATAATATAAAGGTTCCTGAATCCACTTGATTGAATTATTCAGAAGTTAAAAAAAAGATAAAAATAAAAAGGAAAAGGTTGTGATTCAAATCGTAGGTGATTTATTGAATGAATTGAGCTTTTAGCAAAAGCATTGCTCTTTTTATATTGTTAAAAATAAGGTTGGTCGATATAAAGTTCATTTCATTTAAAGTTCATTTGGTTTAAGGTTCAAACGTTAAATGGAGAAACCTTAATCTCGCAGTCCAAAAAGAATCAGTTATGGTTATTAGTGCTACAATACAAGTCGTGAAGTTGGTGAGGATCACGAAGTTCATCTGTTTCAACTCCGCTATTGTTACAGTATAAGATACCAAAAAGGGTATCAATACCACCAATGTACAGGCCAAAAGAGAGAATTTTATTAGCCAATTTCAAACTCAGCAAAAAGTAGTTCAAAAAGAAGATGTGAGGCTACCAGGGGTCGAACCTGGAATCTCCTGATTCGTAGTCAGACGCCTTATCCATTGGGCCATAGCCCCTCACACATTTTTATTGCTTAAGTAATATAATTTATCTACATTTTTTAATCACGTGGAAAGTATATGATTGGTGGAGTTAACTTTTACCGTGGCATGTGACATTTCTGGTTACCAAACTAAGCTGCATGGCCTGAGGATCTTTTGGCTGATCATTTCAAAAATTGTTATGGAATGATCATGTTACTACATATTGTTAAGTTACCTTCTCTGCATGACCATTCAAGGGCCTTGTCTAGTTTATAAGACGTTGCTCAGACAATAGACCATAAACATCCAGTTGAAGAAGTTACTAGGACTTGTAAAGTTTCAATCTTTAAGAATCACTAAAAATACTTTTTTTCTTCTTTCTTCAATTAAAGAATAAAGTAGAGACTTCCAACTTTTACAGCAAGAACAGCATAAATACCGTAAAGTCAACAGAAAATGTGATTTTGAATTATTTCCATGTTTCTTAAAAAAAGGAATCACAGTAATATGAAACATTGTGTATGGAGAATTTCGAATATGTATGCAACTGCAAAACTGTTGATACTTTTTAGTTTATTTTCATGTTGTATTAAAAGAATATATAAATATCCACTGGGCCATATTGTACGTAATGAAAGAGATGTAGGGATTGAACATACAGTTTTTAATAATGGCGTAAATGAGGGGGTATTCCCATGTGGGTGTTGCCATAATGGTGCACGATTTCTTCATCTGAAGAAGCAATCTCACCTTCTTCCATTTCGTCGTCTTCATCATTTACCGTATTAGAGGTGCTGGTTGTAGTTGACGATGAAGCATCCATATGCGTAGACGGTCTAGAGAGTGTCATGTTTGTGTAGTATCTGTTATTGTTATATGAGGGTAGTGAGTATTGATTGTATCTGTACGCCTGTTGTTGAGATTTTAAAGGTTTAGTAAGAGGACGTGATTGTTGTGGTGGCTGATCATAGCGTGGTCGTTTTGCTGCCACATATTGCTCCGCATCCTCAGTATCTTCTCCTTCTTCCTCTTCTTCTTCTTCGTCTGAATCAGTTTCTACATCGCTTAAAGGTTTTCTTCCTGCCAAAAACGCGGCTCGTGCTGCTGCCATTTCTGGAGTTTCTTGCATGTAGCTGGGATTCATATAAATGGATGGTGATGGATGACTTGATGAAGCAGCGGCTGCAGGAGTTACTGCATCGTTTATCGTCGCTGCAGGTGCATTGCTGCTAGTTGTGCTAGGAGTCGCGCTTTCCTCAGGAGATTTTCGCTTTCGATTACGTGATGCTGCTGGTCTCTTTGGCGGGGGTCTTGGTCTAAGAATAAGCTCGCAAAGCGCATCAATACGTCTTGCGATTACTAAATCCTTTGGCCAAGTAATGCGTGTCAATATCTCTGCAGTTGTCTCAGGATTCGATTCTGTCGCGTCTTTGTTTTCATTATATTGCTGTACAATCTTATGAAATGGTAATTCAGGGTCACTAATCATGAGATCATGTCGTCCGATACCGTGTTTACAGATACCCTGTAATAGTGCCTTATCATGTAAGGGCACCTCCCACCATCTAGATTTGTATTAATAAAAGTGAATTTAAGAATAAGGGGCTACTTACGTTGGCAGGCCTGAAGTCTTTCTTGCCCTTAGCAAAGCTTCATCCAAGTCAGGAGCTACAATAACATGCTCACGAATTCGCTTCATTTGATCAACACGTTTTAAGGCTCTTCTTGCTTTATCATAAGGAATGGTTTCAACTAGCTGATCCGTTTCCTCTGCACCTGTAGTTGCAGGCTCTTCACTTGACTCTCGACTTTGCTGTTCATCATCTTCTGTTGACGAAGGCTTTTGTTGTCTCTTCATAATCTCCTTGCACGCACTAATGAACTTGTAATAATACACATCTAACGCAGCATCCGTCTTTTTGTCTAATCCAGATAATTCTCTAAATCGATCCCAGCGAATATTAGGATCACCATGAACTGTTTCAACGCCAAATGATAGAATAGTTCGTAAAAAGTCACTTCTGCTCTTCTTTTGCCATCGATTAGATGAGTCGCCTCGTTGACGGGTTGATCGACCATTTCCAGCAGCGGGACCACCTCTGCGCTTCTTGTTCTCAACACCTTGCTCTCGTAAAAAGGCTGCAATGATACGACGAAGACGCATACCAATGTCTGCCTTGGAGGGCCACACATAGACAGTAGCATCTTCTGAGCTGATGTCAGATACATCATCCTGCTGCTGTTTCTCGGTTCCTGCGTCGTCGTCATCTTCTTGAAGCGTTCCTGCTTTACTGTCATCGTACCTTTTGCCATAAAAGCAAAACTCCTTGTCTTTACGCATAGTTAAGTACTGTTGATAACCATGCTTACATATGCCTAGTAATAGATCACGGTCTTCTGCTTCTCCCCACCAGTCACAAGGCAAAGATCCACTCACTTTTGGAATTGGTAGCTGCTTAGCCTCTTCCCAATCCTTTGGTACAATCCTGTCCCGAACCATGTGAAGCATTTGAATTCTTAGCAAGAAATTACGGCCCTTTCTTTCAATATGTTCAATGTATTCAGGAGGTGCCTGAATCAAGAATGACCTAAATTCAGCAATCTGCTTCTTGGTAGCGCCTTTATAAGGAACCGTATGGTCACCACGTATTTCATCCTCTGCATCATTTTCCAAAATCATTTCAATATCCTCAACCAACTTTTTATCTTCTTCACTGTTGCCTTCAATTTGAGGAAGTACCTTACGCATCAATGAACGCGTGGCAGCCTTCAGATCTTTTTCAGAGCGACGAGGAAAATGAGCCTGCATTTGCTTCCATGGACCATAGCCATAGATCATCAACTTGCGTTCGTACTTTGTCTTTTCAGATAACGTCCAAGGGCGAATAGTATCACGTTTTCTTGACTTTTCACTCTCATCTTCATACGCGTCAGAGTCATCAGCATTGTCATTATCCGAGTAGGCATCATCCTGTCGTGCACCGAATCGCTGTACTTGTCTACGCTTTCGTGGCTCGTAGACAATTAAATCATTTTCATCCTGAACCTCTGTCACGTCCAGGTTAGCCTTGGCAGCCCACTTCTCCCAAAAATCAGGGTCGTCCAATTCAACATCTTGGCCTTCGACAGATGAAGAAAAGGTTGCCTTCGAAAAGATGGATCCCTTCTCGTTACCTTCGTGGCGAATCACCGTTGTGCGTCTCTCGAGAATTTGATCAATATCCTCTTCACAAAATTGTGCACTTTCTTCATCATCCATCACTGCACCATAGGCACCCTTCTTTAACAAATCTTCAATTTCTTTTTTGCTAAGTTCGTTCTTGGATACAGAAGAAGCGGTAGCAACTTCTTCATCCTTGGAAGAATTCATTCTTTGCATGACGGCCTTATCTAATCCAAGCTTCATGCCTGCACGATCAAACATGTCTTTCTCATAGGTGTTTCTGCAGATCAGGCGGTACACTTGAACAGGCTTTGTTTGGCCGATACGATGACAGCGTGCTTGTGCTTGTAAGTCGTTTTGGGGATTCCAGTCACTATCAAATATGATACAAGTGTCTGCAGCCTATAAAAAAGGGTTGATATTAGGTAAATTTTTTTTAGAGGTTCTTCGACATTACCGTCAAGTTAATACCAACACCACCAGCTCTTGTACATAATAAGAATACAAAAGATTCGGTAATAGGTAAAGTTGAGAATCTATCAATAGAAGCTTGCCTTTGTTCACTTGGAATACTTCCATCAATGCGTTCATGAGGATACTGTCTTCCTCTCAGGTAATCAGATAAAATGTCTAAGCAGCTATTACAAAAAAAAATGTCAACTTTACCATTTAAACCATGATTTTCTTACCTTGTGAATTGAGAGAAAATCAACACTTTGTGATTTCCCTCAAACAATTTACGTAATAGCTTATCAATCAACACCAGTTTTCCCGAAGATTGGACCAAGCAATTAAATTGGTCAAAAGGAGTAACTGCACCAGAATCTTTTATGATGACTTCTTCAGCGCCTTCTAATAAATAAGGATGGATACAGCACTTTCGAAGCTGCATCATGATGTTTCGTAGTTGTGGCATTTCCTTATTAGCTACAAAACAATAAGTTTACATCTATTTCAAAGCATACACATACGCCCTTACACTTTGTTCCTTTCTTTAAGAAGCTAAAGTTCTTTTCCAATATAGCGCGATACCATTTCTTTTGAGGGTTTGTCAATTCAACTTCAATCACCGTTTCTTCTTTTACAGGAATTGTCTTTTCAACATCTTCCTTGAAACGTCTGAGCATAATTGGCTTTAGCAGTGCCTGGAGCTTTTCGACTTCAGCAGCTGTCTGTAGTTTACCATACTCTGCAAAGAAAGCGCGTTCGTCATTGAATATTTCTGGCTGCATAAAGTTGAGCAAACTGTAGAGTTCATCCAGATTGTTTTGAAGTGGCGTGCCTGTCAGCAGTATTTTATGTTCAATATAAAACGTCTTTAGGACTTCTCCTACTTTTGATTGCTTGTTCTTTAATCTGTGAGCCTCGTCAAATACAGCACATTTCCACGGAATATCTTTGAGATGAGCAGCGCCTGCAGATGCCTATCAAATGCTGTTAGATCATGTTGTATGAATGATTAAATGGACATACCATCTCATAAGTTGTAATAAGAACATCAAACTTGTATCTATCGGGTATAGGTTTACTTTGGATGTCCTTGAAATAGAATTCGGTCTCCACCAACAGGTTTCGAGATAGGGTATTCCCGCGATAATCAATGACATTCAAGTCAGTCCATGCCTTAAACGCCCTTTCCCAGTGAGGCACAGCTAAAAGAAATTGGTTAATTTTTCATTCGCTTTAGGGCTTGATTTCATAACTTACTTGATAAGGGTGCAATGATCAAGAATGGGCCTCTCACATTCAATTGATAATAAAGATCATTCAAGAAAGCAACTGATTGAACCGTTTTGCCGAGGCCCATTTCATCTGCCAATATGCAAGAACGGTAGTTGTAGTAGCAGAATCTCAACCAATTCAAACCTTCTAATTGATATGGACGCAGTTCATTGCCAAACTTGTATTTTATGCTTGTTTCGTATTTTACAAATTGAGTATAATCAGGACGTCTAGGTGGATTAGATGCTTTTTCTGGAGGTATCACTCGATTGCGTTGATATTCATATATTTTGTTTTCATCCATCTTTTTTTTTTTTTTGTTAAGTCTTTAGTTATTCTCTATTTTTTATTTTACCTTTTGTACATCGTCTTCACTTTCCCATGTCGATGCATCATAAAACAATCCTTTCCATTTGACAAGATAATAGATCTTTGGTTCACCCGTGACGGCATCTCTCAATTCACCCTCATCAATAATACGATCAATCTTTAGATGCTCCGAAAAATCTTCCCCCCTTTGTCCATCTTGGTGCCACTTTGTCAAAAACTTCTTTACTCGATGTTTACCCAAATGTTCTCTTTCGATTTTTTCTTTGGGGACCCATTCTGCATGGTGATAACTAGAAAACTATATATATATATATATATATTTAATAATGCATATACATCATCTCCCCCTGAATGCATACCTTATATTTTACCAATAGTTCAGGCTGGTGCGTAGTTTCATTCATTCTGTAGTCCAAAATCTTTTCAAACGTCTTTGTTCCCATTGGAATCATCACTGTAGGGGTTTCTGTGGCTTGTTTATTAGCCGATTTAGTGGATGGTGAATCGTAATCACTATCTTCGTCTTCTTCGTCATCTTGCTGCATAATTTCTTCCATATCTTCGTCTTCTGAATCTTCTTCATACTTGATTGATTTCTTTTTTCTATGGCTTGCTCTTTTAGAAGAAGAAGAACCAGTAGTAGCAGCAGTAGTCATAGGCGCTGCTGGTTGTTGTAAAAACATGATTTGTTGTTGTTGTTGTTGACGATAATATTGCTGTTGCTGCTGCTGCTGCTGCTGTTGTTGTTGTTGTTGATGCTTTTGTTGAAGTAATAACAGTTCCTGTTGTTTTCTTTGTTCTACCAAATACTGTCGATAGTATGGATCCATTCTTTGATTGTACTGTTGCTGTCCTTGAATTGAATATGCCGTAGCAGCAGGATTGTTATTCAACAAATCAATGAACCCTCCTTGTTGAGACATAAAATGAGTTGGATATTGTGGGCTGTTATCAAAATATCCATTGTCTGTACCAAGTTGTGTATTAATGTATAATGACGCAGCAATATCGTTACTATTATTATAATTTCCACTACTTGTGTTATTGTTATTGCTCAAGAAGCTGTTAAGCAATTCTTCTTGTTGAAAGTAAGAATCTTGTTGTCGCTGTGTCATCAAGAGAGCAATCTGACTTTATGAATGTGCGTACTTAAAGATGAGAATGATGTCTCTTTTTTTTCTTCTTTTATTTATAAACGCACACAGACACAAACGAGCACACACACAGGGGAGAAAGAAAAAAAAAAAAGAAAGAAAAAAGAAAAAAGAAAATAAAAAAAGGAACAAAAAATAAAACAAAAAAAATCACTTTTTTTATAATATAAAATACATTTTGTACGTGTGTTTGAGAGAGAGAGAGTGTGTGGGTGTGTGAGTGGGTGTGTGTTTATGTATTTGAAATGGGTGTAAATTAAGCTTCGAGGTCACTGAATTTGGTTTCAATTTCCTTATAAAGAGCGGTATACTTTTCAACCAAGACACTTTCACCTTCTGCAGGGTCTTCAAACTTCATTGAGGATAACTTGTACAAGATATCACCCATGGAGTCACGGATCTTGGCCCAAGTGATTTGGTTGTTTGAAGCTTCAACTGCATGAGTAGCACGTTCATAAAAGCCAATCATGTTACGAAGCATCCAAGTTGTCTTGAAGAAGGGACAATAGCGATCATAGTTACTATAACCGTTTTGCTGAAGGAAGTCATCCTTGATGATCTGAGCAATTTCCAACGTAATCTTGTCGGTTTCGTTAAGACCAGACTTGCCGACCAATTGTACAATTTCAGAGAGATTTTCTTCCATTTGAAGAATTTCCTTACACTTGTCACGAAGACTGATGTATTCAGGGTCATGCTTTTCATAATAAGGTTCCAAGACCTTAATGTACTTGGAATAAGACAAGTTCCAGTTGACAGATGGGAAGTGCTTACGTTGAGCCAATTTCTTATCAAGGCCCCAAAAGACTTGGACAATACCAAGGGTAGAGGCTGTGACAGGATCAGAAAAGTCACCACCAGGAGGAGAAACTGCACCGACAACGGTGACACTACCCTCACGAGAGGGATTACCAAGACAAGTGGCACGGCCGGCACGTTCATAAAAGGAGGCAAGACGAGCACCAAGGTAAGCGGGATAACCGGAATCGGCAGGCATTTCTGCTAAACGACCAGAAATTTCACGAAGAGCTTCGGCCCAACGAGAGGTAGAATCAGCCATCATGGCAACATTCTTACCCATGTCACGGAAATATTCAGAAAGGGTAATACCGGTATAAATGGAAGCTTCACGAGCAGCGACAGGCATGTTGGAGGTATTGGCAACCAAGGTGGTACGCTTCATGATGGATTCTTTACGACCTTCCACTTCGATGGAAAGTTCAGGGAAATCCATTAGTACTTCAGCCATTTCATTACCTCTTTCACCACTATAAAAAAAAAAGAGTTAGACAGCTTATTTGTGTATATATGTGTTATTTACCATCCAACGTAGATGATAATATCTGAATTGGAGTATTTAGACAGGGATTGAGAAATGACAGTCTTGCCACAGCCAAAGGCACCGGGAATGGCAGTTGTACCGCCTTGAACACATGGGAATAAGGCATCCAAAACACGTTGACCGGTTAACAAGGGATGGTTGGCTGTTAACTTTTCAGCAACAGGACGAGGTGAACGGACAGGCCAGAGTTGTCTCATGGTATGCTTTGTGGTCTCTCCTTCAAATTCAGTTTCAAGAACGACATCGTCTACAGTGTATTGTCCCTTGGGAGCAATATAAGTGATCGTACCGCGGGATTTAGGAGGCAACATGATGTTGTGAATAGAGACAAGAGAGTTTTCATAGACTCTACCATAGATATCACCACCTGTAATATGGTCACCGACCTATATATATATCTTTTTAGTCAATGTAAACAGTCTCTTTCTTGTTTTGCATACTCGAAAGTTAAGAGGCTCAAAGTCCCAACCAAAGGATTTATCAAGGGCAGGAGTAGAGATACCACGGGGAATATAAATACTTTGGGAAACTTCATGAATAGCCTTTTAATAAAGAGAGGTAAGCATTTATATATTTGTTTACTATTATTATTATTGTTTTACCTTGAGCGGTCGCTGAATACCATCATAAATGTTTGACATAAGACCTATGGGATGATCATCAGTATATATTAAATATATGCAATAAAATACGTTACCAGGACCGAGTTCGACAGATAAAGGCTTACCAGATCTCAAGACGGGATCACCTACGGTCAAACCACCTTTTTTGGAAATGCGTTAGTTTATATTCTGAAACACCATTATTTCTCTTACCAGTTTCTTCGTAAACTTGAATCGTTGCCTTATCTCCATCAATACGGATGACTTCACCAACCAGTTCAGTGTGTCCGACACGAACCTATGAAAAGAAAGATAAGAAAGAGAGAAGAAAAAAAGAGAAGGGAGAGGAGGACATTACCAATTCATACATGGCTGAACCATGCATATTCTCCGCAACAACAACTGTTACAAGTTTAGAGATGAGCTCATTTGTAATATAACAATTTTACCTGGTCCAGAAACAGAAAAGATGGAACCAAAGTCTGATTCGCGTTCGTGGTCTCTAATTCTGGGCAAGTCTCTTTCTGCGTTTTCAAGTGCTCCAGCCTATATATGCGAGGTTAATATGTTGACAGTAACAAGAGCAGGAGAAAGTATGTCAATACCATTTGTTATTATGTATAAAAAAATATATATAAAAGAAGGAGTAAGAAAACTGTTTCGTCTGTCCTTTTTTTTTTTTTTATCAAAGTGGGCTTTTCTCATCAAGCGGAGGATGTGGCGAATTGAAAGGCAGCATCGGTACGTCACCTGTTTCACAACTTTTACACTATGTATGTATAAAGAACAAACCGAACTGCGTAAAGTAGAAGAAAACGTAAAAGAATGAACAATAAGAAAAAAATACATCCTCTTTTCCCTTCTTTTTTTGGTTATCTAGCAACTTTTATGCAACCAAGATATGTGTAATAGATGAAGCATTTATAGCCATAACTCAGATAATGCAATACAGAGCTATACATGATATTTATCATTCAAAACAAGCCTTTCATTATGCACACTCCCCCTTCTTTACTTCCCCCCTCTCTCTCTCCTTTATTTGTAATGATGACAGTTTCCATAAATAGTCACGTGTGCAATGCGTTGATTGGAGTATCCAACAATAACCAAACAGCATTTTTTATTTCTTTCTTTTTTCTCTCTCTCTTCTTTTTTCTCCCTTTATATTTTTCTTAAACATGTCTTCTGCTGCAAGTATTCTTAGACGTCAATTCAAAGGTTTTAGATTATATTAGCTATATAGCAACATGTATTTATTATTCTTTTTATAAAGAATTAACAAGGAATCCAGTTCCCGGATTTGTTGTAGATCTTAAAGATGACAATATATTTATTTGGTAAATCAATATTCTATATTGTATAAACTATATCTAACCTATTTATTTAGGGATGTCGCACTTATTGGTACACCAAAGACAATTTATGAAGGAGGATATTTTAAAGTAATACTGAAGCATATTTCAATAACCTTTCTAATGTTGTAATCTAGGCTACGATGACCTTTCCAGAAGATTATCCTTTTAACCCACCCACTTTTCGCTTTAACAATGAATTCTATCACCCTAATGGTAAGCAAACAAAGATTGATTAAAACATATTATTCATCATGTACACAGTCTACCCTGATGGAAGGCTTTGTATTTCTATACTTCATCCTGCGGGCAATGATCCGATTAGTGGAGAAGCACCAGAAGTAAGAAAAAAAAAGATGATGTCTATATTTTACTAAATTAAAAATTCCTTTCTTTTCCTTGTTCTCTCTCCTTTTTGTAGGAACGATGGAATCCTACTCAGGTAAATATAATACATACACACACATACACAAAAAGAGAGAGAGAGATGGCGTAGATAGATTTGAGCATATATACTTATTAATTATCGTTAGTCTGTAGAAAGTAATAATACCTTACAAAAAAAAGATGTATATATCCTAAATCATATGTAGGTGTACTTGTATCTATCATTTCCTTACTCGCAGACCCAAATTGCTCAAGTCCAGCTAATGTAGATGCAGGCGTAAGTAGGATCCCCATTGTGTGTATTATTTTATCCTCATCTTGCCATAGGTTGACTATAGAAAGAATCGTGAACTGTTTGAGAGTATTGTCAAAAGTATGTCTATTTTTGTATTTTATAGAATGATATTAACAGTGATATAGAACAAGTAGAAGCATCCAAGAAAGATATTCCCAAAGGGTTCAAAATGCCTGAATCAGAAAAAGACTTTATGCCCACAGCGCCACCAGAGATAGAAGAAGATGACAATTTGTAAGATAACCTTGGTGCGTTTGTCATTTACGTCATTTAACATGATTTATTATAGCTGGTATGAATCAGGAGATGAAAGTGACTTTGGTGTAGATGACTATGATGAAGAAGAAGACGACTAGATCACATCATTTTTAAATTGTGTAATAAAGATTTACAGGTTTTTAACCTAAAAGAAAAAAAAAATACAATGCCGTGCTGGGATTCAAATTGCTATTTTATATGTTCCTGAAACTTTTCTTGTTTCTCTTTTTCCCTTTTTTTCTAAACATAAAAACAATGGCTCAAAGACTGGACTCTATTTCTCGTGCAGCCAGTTTGACATGGAACCCAAAGCCACAGCTTTTGCTAGCAACAAGTGACCAAGATTATTTAGAGATTTTTAAACTTGATTCTGTTCATTTCAAACCAAGTCGTTTATGCAAAACAGCGACACACTTTAAGTATAATAATTAATAATACAGCATAAAGCCTTACACAGACTAAATAAAATAAAAAAAGGATCAACACACTCAGTTGGGGAAATCACCATAATCAAGCAGATGGTATTATTGCTGCTGGAACAGACCAAGGACATCTGGAGCTTTGGAGTCCGTTTGCTTTGATAAACAATAAAAGGTAATACAATAACAATAGTAACTTTAGCTAATACATATAAAAGCACTCAAGAGTCACTGATAATGAGAGACACGACGACACATACAACCGCAGTAAATGCTCTTGACTTCAATCCCTCTCAGCCCAATTTACTAGCTTCAGCTGGAAATCAAAGTGAGGTAACGTATGCGTGTGCGCATGTCATTTGTCTCTTCTTATTTTTTCATGGCTCTAGCGTATGTGTGATAGGTTTACATCTGGGACCTTTATCATCCTCACTCATCTTATAAACCTGGTCCTCGATCATCTAAAATGGACCATATTCGTGCTATAGCATGGAACGGACAAGTACAGCATATCCTATCCACCGCCTCGACAAACGGATATACCGTGGTCTGGGATATACGAAATAAGAAAGAAATTATGATCCTACCACAGCACCCAGCTGTCATCTCATCTATTGCGTGGCACCCTGATATTGTAAAGCGTGTGATCAACTATACGTATTTTTTGTAACCTTTTTTTTTTCTGTAGGCGACACAGATCGTTACTGCTGCTCATGATGGGACTATTTCATTATGGGACCTTCGACATGCACATACTCCAGAAAAAGTAATGAAAAGTCAAGACAGCGTATGTGGCCTGAGTTGGTGTAAACAAGATTCAAATTTGCTGTTATCAGGTGGAAAAGAAATTCTCTGCTGGAATCCAAACTTGGGGGAACTTTATGGAAAACTGGTCGAAAGCAAGGATTCGCTTCAAGTGGCCTGGTGTCCCTATCATCCTAGCATTATCGCTTCATCGTCACTTGCTGAATCTGTAAAGTTGAACGATTATAAAAAAAATTATGCGTGAGCTAAACATACTGCCGAATGTAGGTTGATATCCATCCTATTCAATCACTCAGGATAAGATCACCTCCAAGATGGCTACGCCGAACCACTACAGCCTCGTTTGGACATAATGGAAAGATAGCGGTCGTATTGAAGCATAGAGTATTATTGACAACAGTCAAAATAGATCCCGATATCATTAAGCGCTCTGAACAACTGGAATCGGCCACAAGCGATCTTGGTAGTGTAGACACGTTTATTAAAGACCGTATTCGAGAAAGTTGCGAAAAAGAAGACTGGACGATACTAAAGATACTTTTTGCAGACGACGCACGAGAGCAGCTCATACGGCATTTGGGGTTTAATAGGAATCAAGTGACCATGTCACATCAAGCACCTTCACCGCATTCCTTTTTTGGCAAAATGGTCAACCCCCTTCCGATACGCTTCCTCTCTTCTCCTTTAACGGACCGCTCGATTGCTGAATATGTGGGCCTTGGTGACTTTGAATCGGCGGTAGATGTATGTCTGGCATCAGAACGGTTCTCAGACGCACTGGCCATCGCAGCATGTCATAGTCCTGAACTGTTCAGTCGGGTCCACAAGACGTTTATTGAACGATATGCACACGAACATACCTACCTTCATCTCCTCGGAAACATCGTGAACCGAGACCTGGATTCTGTCGTCACCACTGCAGCCCTGGATGAATGGAAGTTTATCTTGGCCACTCTCTGTACCTTTGCCCAGCCTGGTGATCTGGCTCGGCTTTGTGAGTTATTGGGTGACCGTCTGATGAAAGCTCAGAAAGAAAAGCAGGCATTAATCTGCTACATGGCTGCAGGTCATTTGGCAAAGACTTTCAGTATTTGGATTGCTCGATTAGAAGAAAAGGAGAAATGCCAAGAAGAATACACCATTAGATTGCAGGAATTGGTTGAAAAGTTGACCATCTTTCGTAAAGCAATCCATTACCAAGAATCGACAGTGATAACCTCTCAGGGGACGTATGAGCTGGCTAGACTGTATGATACATACTGCGATTATGCTCAGCTTATGGCAGCGCAGGGGAAATTGGACATTGCATTAAAGTACATCAGTCTAGTCCCTGAAGGGTATAGCAAACGGGCATCTCTTGTTCCTAATCTGCAACCAGAGCATGGTGATGTAACGTCAACAGAGGTAGATCATTCAGCAGCATCTACTGCAGTAGTACCAGATACAGTGCATCCTTCGCCTTTAGCGCCACCTACAAGTGCAAGTTACCATACAGCTCCACGACAATGGCGTTCATAGAAAGAGTATATAAAAGAGGAGGGGTTAGTTACGACGTATTTCAACGGAAATTATTTTTCTTCCATACAATAAAAAAATACCTTGTGTGCATTCTACAAGCTTTAAAGAGACCTGTTTGTTCAGAATCGCTTTTTTAAAAAAGGCAATGTCCTTTTTCATCAACAAGAGCATATACAATCAGACAAAATTTAAGATGCATATATCACTGACAGCAAATATAGTAACGTAATATAAAGCTAATGCAAACCATTCTATTTACTTGCAATGCAGCTTTAGTAGATATTATGCAGCTCTTGTCTACAAATAAGTTCTATTACTTTAATTCTCTAAAAAAGCATAAACTTGGGACTAAATGAAGGAGAGGGAGGTAAAAGGCAAATATGATTACACGCGCGCACGGCATCAGGAACCATAAAGATAATCTACCGTAGATGATGCCATTCTTCCCCCTTGAGGGGAAGGCATATGACTATATATGCTCAGCTTTTATAATTGCGCAGGAAAAGATAAAAATTGCGCAAAAACACATCAGTTCCTGAAAAGATGCATCCAATGTAGAACAGTGATATAATATCAATAGAAGTAGCCAATACAGTAATAGTGCACATGTGTCTTTCTTTTGTGTTCATTGTCCTGTTCGTTCTAGACAATGACGGGTATTTTCATCTCAAGATGTAACACAAAATATATTCCATCTTATTACACCTTCTCCTTGGTTCATTGTGACACAAACACTAATGAAGGTGATACTGATCATAAAGCTACAGACAAGAACCAGCCCTATCTGTGGCAAAATGAAAATGAGATGTTGCTTGTTTGGATGACGTTAACTTAGTTGGAGCGCTAACGAAAAGATAATGTGTGAAGAAATGAGCAAGTGTGGCATATAAGCATAGTTCATCATGCCGATCTTTTTTTTTTACAGTGATAAGAATGATGTGTAACATTGTCAATCAAAAAATTCTGTTAAAAATAAATTGACCCTGGGTTAAAAACACATTGACGTTGATCTTGTCAAAATGGGCTTTATTTGATTCGTATTTAAGGCATACTCTAGGCCACTTGTCGTAAAAAGGATGCCCTGAAGAGAGAGAAAGAGAAAAGTTGTTGCATATGACTTGCAAATAAGATTCCCTTGTGTAAATCCATGGATGAATGCAAAAGCATTTGAAAAATACGAGAGACCCCTCGTGAGGGGGTACTGTCATTAATGGCTGGTAAGCGAACCTAAATCAGAATGTTCTTTCATCACTGACGCTTTTTTTTTTTCCTCTTGAAGGATGATCCTTGATCATCCCCTTTGTTGGTACTGTTCCTGGAGATTGAGACAATATTAATGGTCTTGCGGATACAATGAAAATTCTGTATAAAAAGTAAAAGTTTGATTTTATAATGATGCTTATAAATACTCATATATTAGAATCATCCAGTAAATCAATGTGTTTATTGGCCTCACTGTTGTTATTTTTAATGGCATATATAAATACCTAACAATATAAACTCGACTAGTCTAAAATCGTACACTATCTCTTAAAGCTAAACTATAAATGATTTTTATAACAAACAAACAATCGTCATCTAGTATAAATATGTGATAAAGAACAGAAAGAAATGATTGATAATGGATTAATGTAAATTTACTGTTTTAGTACAACCTAGATTCTTTATTGTACAACAAAGTAAAAAGTAAAGAGTGATCTTCAGAGTTAAATCAAAGCATGAAAAAAGAAACAAAACTGTCTTTGGTTCTAATCGAATAAAAAGAGAGAGGACATTTTCTTATTTGTTCCTTTTTGTGTATTTCAAACTAAATTTAAACTTTTTTTTTAATTCTAAACTCACTATTCTAGCCTCTTTCTTTCCTTTTCTCTCTCTCTCGTCCTTCTTTCTTTTTGTATATAGACCTCATCCTCCCTTCACTTATATAATATTACCTAGCCATAATGCCAAGAATGAGTTACAAATCAGGCACACAAGATGTGGTAGTCGATCAACTTAAAGTACTTGAACCCTCATCGTCAAGAACTTCATTATTCAAGCCAATCAAGAAATCTACAAAGAGCCTTCATCGTAGAAGACATACAATAGATGCTTGGAATCATTTGGATGAACCGCTGATTCCATGTCGAAGATTATCCTCATCTGAATTAAAAAAAAAAGTAGTACAGCCACCTCATAAAAGAATATTAGTCACTGGTGGAGCAGGATACATTGGAAGCCACACTTGTCTAGAGCTATTAAATGCTGGATATGATATCGTTGTCATGGATAATATGATAAACTCAAACAAAGGTAACAGAGAGAGAGAGACTTTTTTGTGTGTATATATGCTCATAGCATCCAATAGAAGCACTATACCGAGTAGAAAGACTAGCTGGTAGACCAATTGTGTTTATGAAGGGAGATGTCACACATGAATCAGACTTGGAGCAAGTATTTCAACATTATCAGTTCTGGGCAGTCATTCATTTTGCTGCTATCAAGGTAAAGAAGGAAAGAAAAGGAAAAAGTGTGTAACAAGGTATTCACACACGTATATAGGCTGTGGGTGAATCAACTCGCATTCCATTAGAATATTATCATAACAATCTTACAGGGACATTAAACCTACTAAGAGTCATGAAACGATACAATATCAAAAACATTGTGTTTTCATCAAGTGCCACAGTCTATGGTGAATCAGAAGTGATGCCTGTGAATGAATCATGTCCATTAGGACCAGTGACGAACCCATATGGAAAAACGAAATTATTTGCCGAAGAAATATTACGAGACTTGTATGAGTCTGATCCAGAGTGGAATGTTATCTTGTTAAGGCAAGTATAGTAGATCATATACATATACGGCAAATAATCTCACCCTATTTCGATAGATACTTTAACCCAGTGGGAGCACATATGTCTGGAATGATTGGAGAGCATCCACAAGGTGTACCCAATAATTTATTACCATATGTAGTCAAGGTGCTACAAGGTCATTTACCCTTTGTCCATATTTATGGAAACGATTACGATACAGTGGATGGCACAGGAGTAAGAGATTATATTCATGTCTGTGATTTGGCTACAGGACATGTTGCTGCATTAAAAAAGCTAGAAGAGAAGCCTGGTTGTAAAGCATATAATCTCGGGACAGGTGCTGGTTACTCTGTCTTGGAAATAATTCACGCTATGGAACGAGCAACACATAAAAAGATTCCCTACAAGGTAATTTAAAACATGTTGTATTTGCCCTTTTTTATCTAATCAACATATTTATATGTGTGTGAAGATCGAAAGTAGAAGACCCGGTGACGTTGCTATCTGTACAGCAGACGCTTCATTGGCAAATAAAGAACTTGGCTGGCATCCTCTTTATACAATGGATGATATGTGTCAAGACATCTGGAGATGGACTCAGCGAAATCCTAATGGTTATGATGGTGAATTATTATAAAACCGAGACTATTTCTATTTATGGAAATGTTGTATGGTGTATTTGTCTCTATTATTATTTTCCTCTCTCTCTCTCTCTCTCTCTCTCTATAATTCGCTTTATTTTTTTCTCTTCTTTTATTTGCTGATATAATCTGATAATCCCATTTCTTCTTCCGTTTGCCTTTTCTCTTTTTAATAAAATTAATGCCTACCTCATCTACAGCAGCTGCTAGTCCAGGCCACTCACATAATGTCGTTGGTGTACATTATAAAGTTGGAAAAAAGATTGGCGAAGGAAGTTTTGGTATCATTTATGAAGGTTCGAAAATAAACAACAAAGCAAAAGCAACATAATTAACTCAACCGGAAACTTTATAGGCGTCAACTTGTTGAATAATCAACCTGTGGCAATCAAGTTTGAGCCAAGAAAGAGTGATGCCCCACAATTAAGAGACGAATATCGAACTTACAAAATTATGGCTGGCTCCGGTAAAACATTTAACTTCAAAAGGGATTATAAGCTAATTTATATTTTTTATACAGTGGGTATTCCTACAGCCTACTATTTTGGTCAAGAAGGTCTTCACAACATCCTCGTCATTGATTTGCTCGGCCCAAGTCTGGAAGATATGTTTGATACCTGTGGTAGACGCTTTAGTATCAAAACAACAGCTATGCTCGCAAAGCAAATGGTACAAGTAGTTCAAATAAGGATTTTTTTATGCATACACTCATACTCAATTGTTACTTAGCTAACTCGAGTACAGACTATACATGAAAAGAACCTTATTTATAGAGACATTAAGCCAGATAACTTTTTGATTGGCAAACCTGGCACAGATGCAGAAAATCAAATATTTATTGTAGACTTTGGTATGGCTAAATTATATAGAGATCCAAAGACAAAACAGCATATTCCTTATCGTGAACGTAAGAGTCTGTCTGGAACTGCTCGTTATATGAGTATCAACACTCATTTAGGAAGAGGTGCACGCATCTATACTTTGCATACTACTACTTCTTACTGACGTATTGACATATATAGAGCAATCTCGTCGTGACGACCTTGAATCACTCGGTCATGTGTTCATGTACTTCCTGAGAGGCTCTTTACCTTGGCAAGGATTAAAAGCTGCTACAAATAAACAAAAATACGAAAAAATTGGTGAAAAGAAGCAAACGACAGCTATTAAAGATCTCTGTGATGGATATCCAGGTAATAAAACGAATGTTATTTTCTTTGGAAACTAATTTGGACAATAGAGGAATTTGGCATCTATCTTCAATATGTGCGTAAATTAGGCTTTGAGGAAACTCCTGATTATGACTTTTTACGAAGTCTTTTTACAAAAGCCATTGAAAAGATTGGTGAAGTGGAAGATAGTGTCTATGACTGGATGTTATTGAATAACGGCAAGGGCTGGCAGGTAAGATTTTAAATATAAATAGTTTCCTTTTTATACTGACATGTACATAAAGTCTTCATCTAAACGACAAACACGACAACAAACAACAGCAAAACGGTTTATTGAAAACAATACCAACAACAATGCAACCGCACGCCAAATAAAAGACTCGAACCAAAATGAACTAAACCATCATCAGAGCCAACAACAACAACAACAACAAAGACAATTAGAGCAGCAGCACCAAAAGAAACCTAGCTTTTGGTCAAAACTTTCATGTGGATTATGTCAGTAAATCTCTCTCTCTCTCTCTCTCTCTCTTTATATCTTTTTTCTTTCTTCTCTTTACTATTAGTATCTTATAATGTACAGTAATCATATGCAAGTTTTCAAATAGAGAGCTTGTCTACTGAAATAAACAAGAAAGAAAGCCTTGGCATGCGGAGTGTACAGATGATGAAAGGAGTTGTGATATCAACTATGCATCAATTCACTATGTGACAAGCTTGCTTCTCTGTAAAGCAACATGCTCCCTCTCCATATTTCTCATGCTTTTCTGTATATATATGCAATAGATCGTCATTTTATTTCAAACAATGATTGTTTATTTTTTTTTTGTTTTTCTGCTCCAAATTATGGGATGTTTATGGAGCTGCAATGTAAGACAAGAAATATAATTTTGAATGAATGAGGTTGCTCTGTAGTACTTTTCAAATTTGTCATAAGGAGGATGCCACTGAGTTGTGTATGATCAACATTTTTGAGTATATGGGTCGGTAGTACACGATAAAAAGGCGGATATGACAGATAATATGATTGATATATTACTTGATATGCTCCTATTCTATTTAGGTTAAAAGTCCCAAATAAGTTACAAATGTAGTATCAGTTCACTTGTACAATAATAAACTTTTAGGTTTTATACTTTATTTATGATGAACGTGTTGAATTCACTATATTCAATACACGCATTACGGAAAGTATATATACGTTATAACGCCACAATTCTTTTTCATCAAATATTTATTTAACTTTGAGAATATTTATATACTAGATTTGTTTTGTGAATAAGGATTCGAAATTTGAAGGCAAATTTAAAAAGATATGCTTATGAATAAAATATTGCTGTGATATATATTTTAGAAAATAGGGTTTTCAAGCTATACTACGAGATGATAATAATTCTTTTGAAAATAAACATTTTGTAATATCAGTATTAAGATTTGAGAAACAAACGAGTTTTTTAATATTGATGAATGATTGAGAGCCTTGCAATGTAAAATGCTTATGATTTGAGTGAATGCTCTTTTAAAGTTAAAATGTGAAAGAAATCTACTGTGATCTTTAGACGCATTTAATAGATCAAATAAAAATTATAAAAGTGATTTTTACTTTATTGAATGACTTTTTTAAACTCTCACAAGAGTCAAAAGTATTTATTACAAGAAAACTACAAAAATGGGCTTATTCAGAGGTTGCGTTAGTTTTCCAGCGAATGCTACTGTGATTACTTGTTTTAGCTTACTGATCTTGGCGCGTTTAAAGTCTTTAAGATAGGTTTAAAATAAAAAGAATAAAATAAAGTACAATATGTCGTATTAGTGGCCACCAGATCCTGATTATACAAGATCAAAGATAATAAGCGTGAATTGAAAAATAAAAACAGGGACAGTTAAAATGTCTTTATAAGAAGTGAGAATAATACTGCAGACTGATTAATCTAATGAAACTATCGATTCTTTATTTCAAAAATGCTGGGTTATTTATATATCTCATAGTGTAAACGTGAGTCTGTTATCAAACAACATAACCCTAAGCTATAAGTTTGTACTTGATAGTAAAGTAGTCTTGTAATAAGGTATTTGATGATAATTGGTTCGATAAGTAACCACTAGATCTTGTATAGATCAAATAGAGATAGCAACAAAGCTTGCTTGATAAGATAGGGTTACAATGAAGTATAATGTGACTTCAAAGGGCTTTTATGAATCAATAAAGAGTTATATAAGAGGTACAATAAGAATTTATTGTAAGAATAAAAGTGATAATAAAAATAAAAGTAAATGTGATGCTAAAAGTGTAGGTTTGTTGCTGTAGAGGATAATGTTATTTATACTACACCATTTCCAGAAAGAGATGTCGCGCTGACTTGTCACTTTTTCGTATAAATTGTATTATAAAAACTGCAAAAATGCGACTTTACTTTCTGAAAAGACTGTATATTATTTTTTTGTTGGTTTCCTATTTGGGATGACTTCGTCCTTTGACAACTTAGTCCTTCAACAATATCGTCCTCTGAAACAAATTCCCAAAAATAGTAGTTACACTGTTTCTGATGTGGCGATTTGAGTTTCATTTGATGAATCGAAGTTCATTTCATGAGTTGAAGTTCGTTTGGTGTGTTTCCATTTTTGGTAATTGGTGTAACAAAAGATATTTGAGCTTTTTCCTTACAATGATATATCATAAAAACTTGCATTAGACGTGCAGAGTACAAGATACCAAAAAGGGTATCACTACTCTTGCATCAACAACGTTCATGCAACAGCAAGTAAAGATCCAATAAAAACGAAGAGAATAACATTTAAATCTCCGAAAGAGATACTGAGAAAAAATTTCCCCAACGGGGAATCGAACCCCGGCCATGTCGGTGAAAGCGACAGATCCTAGCCACTGGACCATTGAGGACCGCTTTTTTATGTAACCGTTAAAATTTAATTATTAAATTACTATGATCACGTGACAACTATATGCTCTTGGAAATACGTTCTTCCGTCATATGGTGTATACTGATTGGCGGGAAAGTTTACACTTTAAAGCTAATATTTATTATTTTCATCTTTATTCTTCTAAATAAAAGAAACATAGAATCCCGTTGTATTTTCTGTCTACTCTTACTACTACTACTACTACAATAACTAGAACGGCTACAAGCACTACAAGTATAATTATTATTAAAATTTATGTAATCAATCCATTGGGCTAACCTTCTTTTTTCTCATTTCAAGAATTATAAAATACATCAAAAACGTATCAGGGGCTTTAAAGAAGAATGCTATTTTTTTTTTTTTTGGTACGCCTGCGAATCAAGAGGAAAAGAAGAAGAGAAAGCAATACTCAGGCTTTTACAGAGAATGGTTGATTCTTTGAAGAGCAGATCTCATGGATCAGGTTTTTGCCTCAATCTGTTCTAGTGATTCATCCAAAATTTCTTCACGCAATTTAAAGTATGAATCAGGTATCGAGAAATTAGAAAAAGTGAATGGAAACGCCCAAGGTAAATTCATTAGATATAGAAATATAGCCTCCAATATTAATATGATTGGTATTTTCTAGACCTATTAAAATTTCTAGGCGATACACAAGATAATATCTGCTTGGTCATAATAGACTTTGCTGGTTTATCAACATATATAGACGATTTGAAGAAATTTGTGAAGTGTTTATTCGTAGTTTTGTTTGAAGATTGAACAAAATAATTCATAAATGTTTTACAATATGTAGGAATTGCAAAAAATGAAAGGAAATTATCATCAATAAGCTTTCCTTCGAAAAGATTAACACTACATGCAACAAAAAATAGACTAGTGTTACAGGCATTTCTTCTAGGTATTACATATGAGGCCGTCCAGTAGAATATTCTTTAATGTAAAGTGCAAATTTATCATAATTACACTTTTGATCAAATGGGCAGCATAAAATTAAAAATACAGCAATAAAAATGTTTATTTAACTCTTGAAAAGAATAATACAATATGAAATCTATGAATTTGTATTCTACATCAAAGAATATGAAAATACTCTGGTTTCTGAGTAGGTTTAACGTGATGGCACACGTTAAAGAGTGTTGTTGACGACATCACAGGTAGTAGATAGAGGTAGCGCACATAGAATTAGTCTATTTTATGATGCATGTAATGTATATCTTCATAAAAGAATTACAGATAAAAAAAGTCATGTTGCCGAAATGAAGACTAAGGATGTGGTTATAGGCTTACTAGCCACGCTTTATTCTCAATAATACAATAAAATACAAAAAAGCCTTGCTTATTGTTATTCTTTACATCTTTCTAATTATACATTCGCTGTGGCTCAGAGACTGATGGTAGGGATGTGTTTCGAAAGAGTCTTTTTATATAACATTGGAGGGGAGCTACTACATCCTTAGTCTTTGTTTCAGCAACATAGCCATTTTATTTGATTTTTAAGTGTTTGATAATCTTTTCCCTTTCGTACATGATAAATATTCGGTATAGAATTTGAATATTTACACAAGTCATAAATGCCATATTACCCCAGAAATGTGGAGTAATCTAAAGAAAAGGGCGGGTTTAAAAAAGTATATAATGCGCGATGTTAGCTCTCTGTATGGTTGTCATAGAAACTCTTGCTTTCTCTGATATTTTCGGTCTGGAACCCCATTAGAGAGATATACGCAGTCAATAAACATGTTGAAGAGTTTATTTGATAAAAACTATGTCTTTTCTTTATTTTTATTTTTTAAGCGCATCAAAAATTGAATTCCTTTCACGTAATTCATATTAACAACTTGTTTTAAAACAAACAAAACAAGCTATTTGATTGGCTTATTTATGCAGTAACAACTCATTTCACACGACAAAACCAAACTGGGTTGTAATTTTCCCCGGATTGAATTCTTGCTTACTGTGCAAAAATAGAATAAGAATATAAAAAAACCTTGTTTTTTTTTTTTTTTTTTCTTTTTCTTTTTCAATCTTTTTATCATCTTAATCATGTCTGCTGCTGACCGTTTGAACAACATTAAGGGCCATTTATCTGCCACCCACCCTCAAGGTTTATTAGCTGGTGAAGTTGCCATCATTACCGGTTCAGGGTAGGAAGGAGAGAGACGTTTCAGAAAATATAATTTATGCTTACGATATAATTTAGTCAAGGTATTGGTAAGAGCTGTGCCGAACTATTTGCTCGTGAAGGTGCTCTCGTTGTTATCACTGATATTGATGCAGGCAAGTTTCATGCAGTACAATACAGAGAAAGAAATTTAACACGACATACATTCAATAGCTAAATCTGATCAAGTTGCTGCTGACATTAATGCCGCTGGTGGCAAGGCTATTTCTATTCCCGGTGATGTCTTGGACCCCGCTTTCCCTGAAAGATTGGTTGAAGAAACCGTAAAGCAGTTTGGCAAAATCAACCATATTGTGAACAATGCAGGTTTCACTTTTGATGGTATGATCCACAAGATCACCGATAAGCAATGGGACCTTATGCTTGCCGTTCACAACACGGCTCCTTTCAAGATCATCCGTGCAGCTGCCAAATACCTTCGTAAGAAGGATGGTGCCAACAAGACCATTGTCAACATCTCTTCTACCTCTGGTTTACACGGTAATGTCGGTCAAGCCAACTATGCTACAGCCAAGGCTGGTGTTGTCGGTTTAACCAAGACTATTGCTAAAGAGTGGGGTATGTTTGGTGTCCGTTGTAACACTGTTGCTTTTGGTTGGGTCGATACACGTTTGACGCGTGCAAAGGAAGCAGGTGCTGCTATTGAAGTTGAAGGCCAAAAGGTTGTCCTTGGTATTCCTACCGGTAACAAGCAGGCCAAGGTGAATCCATTTGCAGACATTCCTTTGGGCCGTGCTGGTAACGCAGACGAGGTAGCTGGATCTGTCTTGGTTCTCTGTACTCCTTTGACCAGCTATATCACCGGCCACACCCTTGAAGTTACTGGTGGCCGTGGTATCTAATTATAAATGTAAATAATAAATAAACATTCGCTTTTGACAACCCAAAATAGAACAGTTTCAAAAAATAACAATACCATAAGCCCCCTTTTCTCTTTTTTCTTTCCCTTCTCTTCCACACACACACACACGAAAAAGGATCCGCATAATTTTTATTTATGAAAGGGGTAAAGTATTTTCAATCCATCTATTTTTTCATAAGCATAAACAAGGGCATAAAAAGCGAAAGGAAAGGAATGAAACAGTTTAGATAAAGCAAAAGGATTGTTGTTGTTGTTGTTGATACAGCTGATCGATGGTGGATGGTAGCTGCGCAAGTTGTAAATAATTGTCAGGGTGCACAAAGCAACCAGGGCAGATACAAGCCTCACCACAATAACAGGTAACAATGCGTGTCACTGGCATGGCAGAAGTGTGTAAAGGCGTCATCGTCATGACGACAGACTCTCCTTTAGTTAACGGAATGCTTGTTGTACATTGATGAGGGATCATGCTACCACACAGTCTGTTGATTGGAGGTTCTTTTATATGTTCTTCTACGATAGGTTGTTGATATTGTTGATGTTGATGTTGTTGCTGTTGTTCTTGTTCTTGCTGTTTCTCAGAACAAGCGCATTCTTTAGTGTTGCTATGGTTTCCATGATTCTTTTTTATTGTATGATTGACAATATCTGTATAAGATAGGCCAGGCCAGCACAATGCTATAAAAGAAAATAAATATCTTACATAGTCGATAGAACCATATACTAACATTTATTTTTGCGAATACAGTTACATTTGACATGAATTTGTTTTGTCTTTCTTAAATCTCGGCAGTAAACACACTGGCTGACAGGTCTTCCTTTTTTTCGTATTTCAATCAATGGTCTCTCGAAATGTTTGCAGGTTGAAGATCGATGACCCTATATAGAAGTTTAACAAGCTGTGGTAATTAATCCCTCTTTTTTATTACCTTGACGCAGGTGTTACAAGCAAATTTGATTCCATTAATGAGCATTTTTTTTATCTTTGATGTTTGATTTAAGAATCTAGAATAAAAGAAAGAGCTCAAATGAGCTTTCTTTTGATGAAATAAAGCGTCCGTCCGAAACGAAGACTTTTTTCTGCTTATAAGGTTATTTTTAGGCTTATAAAATTAATTAATCAAAAGGAGAAAAAGAAAGAGAGAGGAATTATAATAAAGAAATCATTCAAAATACAAGAGACAAGCAGTTTAAAGCTAAAAATACAGACAATCGATTAAAATTTAAAGAATATAAAAAGGGGATTGTGTGGTGTGATTGATCAAGAGATAAAAAGAAAGAGAGAAAGAAAAAAAGAAAGAAAAAGAAATTGCATATGAAATGTCTTGATATTTATGGTAAACGATAGTTTCTATAAAAGTTCTAGCTTACAATAATAAATCATTGAATATATTTGCACAACTCTGTCCTAACGGACCTTTCTGAATTGTAGACAGACAAGGAAGAAGAGACATGTAAACTTTGAGGTACTTTGTGAGGTACTTTGAGGTATTTTTTATTTATTGGCTGGAATCAGGCTCCGAAATAAGCTTGAGTCGTACTTGCTTTGAAGAATATAATTGAAAAGGGATAATGGTCCACAAAGTTGATTTCACGTACCCTCGTCGAAATTATATCTTTGATAAAGCATTCATCATATAGAATATGACTGACCTTCAGTTTTCATCTGATATACCATCATTTCCAGATTTTTAAGAAATTTGTGGCGGCATGTGTGGGCTTTTTGTCTTGTCTCTCTCTCTCTCCTTTCAGTGCGATTTAGAATGCGGATATTCGCTGCTCTCATGAATGATCTGAGAGTAACGGATTTCCTATAAATATTATAAGACGCCTATTCACGTCATGAAAGGTGATAATGACTCGAATGACCGGACTGCTCGCTAACATTCGAGTTAAATGTAATATTCTCCAGTAGGGAAGAACTGTGTTTTATTTTTAATTGATTACTATATTACTTATAAAATGTCGGCAGTGGTACAAGGAGCCCTCCAAAATAGGCAAATGAGTACCCAAAGGTTTAGGAAGCTTTATGTGATGAATAATGAGTATCTTGGTAATGCTATACCAATTATTAAACTAGTAACTATCACTGGTCGCTATTTACTCCCGTAGTAGATGATATGATTGAAAACACCGTGGCAGAGCTGCCAAAGTATCAGCAGCACATAACAGAAAAAGGGTTCCTTATACTTAGCTACGTAAGAAAGTCGCCAGGAACAGCATAATATAGAACCTTAAATCTGCAAAATAGGGTGATAAATTTGAATAAAAGGTTCTTGACAGACAAGCGCTTTGTTTTGATGACATGGCAAAGCGTCAAGCGATATATACACCAGAGACTTCAATGATGCTCCAGCGTCGTATAATCCTTTTGCTTGATCTCAGAAATAGAATCAACAAAAGGAGAAAAGACAAACGATGTGAGATAAACTCATTTTGAACCACGTTCTTTTATTATTTTTAAAGCACTTTCTTTCTTTCTTTCTTTTTTTTTTTTTTTTTTTTTTTTTTTTTTGATAGCTCGGATTTCCTCTCCTTTTTGTCAGCGTCCTCTTCTTTTTAAACTGACGTTAATTAAATCCAAAGCAGAAACAGTATCCAATAGAACCATTGTTCTTTACTTTCTTGGCTACTCTTCAAATTCCCAATCCAAAGACTATGTTCTTTTTCATAAAATTTGGCTTTACTCTGACAAAGACACAGTAGATATCACTTTCTGCCATTTTCTCCCTTTTGCAAAAAGACTATCTATTTCCATAAGAAATGGAAGACATGTTGCTCCCTCTACTACAAACTGCTATCGAATAAGATGAATTCTAAGAGAACGCTCTGACTTTGTTCTCCTCTTGCTAATAGGCCTATCTTTTGGTCCATAAATAGTTGCATCATGTTAAACTGCTTTTCATGTTTATATCATATGATGTCATGGTTATCTCAATATTCATGCCTTTATATAAAACCCTGATCTTCATAAACGTGGCACTGCGTGAATCCTTTTTTTTCTCATATCATGTTTTATTTTCGTGCAGCTCAATTCATTAAGCCAAGACGTGCCATTGTTCAAAGACGATTCTATGATACAGGAAATAGCCCTGATACTCCTCAGGGTAACAATGCTCTTATTGTAGGCGGCATGCTTGCTCTTCTTGGCGCCACCTATTTGTATTCAAAGAGTGCAAAGGGAGACCCAAACAAAGTTCTTGGTGACAAGGCAACTGAGAAAGTAAAGGATAAAACCGGCGGGGACAACGATGCCAGCGGAAGTCTATCGTACGAACTCAACAAAGGTGTCAGAAATGCAACTGATTTTATGCGAAGTGGTCGCTCCAATAAAGAAGAAAACCCTACGTCTGCAGGAGCTGCTACTACGGGCAGTGCTGATCCCAATAAGCATCAAAGTCAAATAGCTAGCAAGAGCACAGATGAAGTCACCAATGTCTCTGAAGAAAGCACTCCAAGAAATGACAAGGTGTCGACTATACCCGGTGCTAAATAAGGAAATAAAAATAGACGCCATGGTTTGTTTTTATGCATACATGTCTTTTATTACTGTACAATGTTATTCTATATGTATTAATTCTGATCTTGAGCTAATTTGAGACCATATTCATTTAATTGAGCCGTTGTTACTTCAGATGGACTATTCACTACATAGTCTTTACCACCTGCAGCCTTGGGGAACGCAATTACATCACGGATAGAAGAAGCCTGACATAAGATAGCCATCAAGCGATCAAAACCCAAGGCAATACCTCCGTGAGGTGGGCACCCTCCACCGAGAGCATCAATCAAATGATCAAACCTCTGATACTCATGTCTTTCTAACTGCAGCACCTTTTCTAGTATGAATGTCTGCATTACAGGGGAATGAATACGGATCGATCCACCTCCGATCTCCATACCATTCAAAACCAAGTCATAGTGCTGTCCACGTACTTTTTCAGGCTCTGTAGCCAGCAGGGGTATGTCTTCATCAAATGGTGCTGTAAAGGGATGATGCGTGGATTGCCAAGTGCGGATACCAGCTTCGTCAGGTGTGAAAAGAGGGAAAGATTCTATCCACAAGAACTTGTATCTTTCGGGATCTAGCTTCAGTAAACCCTTATTTTGCAGCAGGTTGGACAAATAGAGACGAATTCTGCCCATGGTCGTATTGCCACCCTAAATACAGATAAGATATATGGTATTATAAAAGAGTAAATCTTACATAAAGATAGGCAGGTCTCTTGTATGTTACAACTAAATCGCCTTGCTGGATATCGAGCTTTTGATTTAATTCAGTTTCAATCGCGCCAATACGCTGTGAGTGGCGAAGTTGAGGGCATTTGGATGGCCATGAATGCATGTTGTTTTCATTGATCTTGACAAATGCAAAATTCTATTTGCTTTTCATCAGCAAAACAATTGTATCCTCTTTTTTTTTCTTCTTACCTTGTCTTCTGTAAGTTCCAGTTCCTTTTGCATAGCCTTTAATTCACCACCCGTAAGCTTGGATCCTTGCTTAACTACCATACAATCGACAGAAGCATCACCAATAGCATCTTTTACATATGATCCAATATCATTGATATGCATCGAGAATCGAACATCTGGCTTATCTGATCCATACTATAGACAAGATTAAACATCAACTATAAACAAAAAAACAGAACTTATTTTGCTTTACCTTGGACATTGCTTCATGATATGTCATGTGTGGAAAGGAGCTCTTTGTTAGCTTTATACTTAATGCTTTATCCCAGATAGCTGTAACCATGCCTTCGATTATATTTTGAATATCCTTTGCTTTGACAAAGGACATTTCTAAATCAATCTTTTATAGAGTCAACACCTCATCTTATACTCCTTTAGTATTTACCTGTGTAAACTCTGGTTGTCTATCTGCTCTCAAGTCTTCATCTCTGAAACAACGAGCTATCTGAAAGTAACGATCAAATCCAGCCGCCATCAGCATTTGTTTATGCTAATGAACAGAATCAATGAGGACTCTGAAGATGTCTTTACTTTACCCTACCTGTTGTGGACTCTGAGGAAGCGCATAAAAATTTCCCTTTTTTCTGGTAGGAACAATGAATTCTCTTGCACCTTCAGGAGTTGATTTAAACAACATGGGTGTCTCTATCTCTGTGAATCCATTATCAATCAAGTAATTTCGAACTGTATTGGCTGTTATCGATCTCAAGCGAATATTATGTTGGAGCTCTTCTCGACGAAGATCCAAGTAACGATAACGGAGTCTGACTTCCTCATTTGGCTATACCCAAGGTGAACACAATGCTTATTGATTTTATTGTTTTTTACCATTTGGGTTTGACTTGGCCAAAAGGGTAAAGAGGGTGAAGCAGGGTTTAAGCAGTAAAGCGTGTTGATTTCAACTTCAATTTCTCCTGTCTTTTGCTTTTTATTTGCCATGCCCTCTGGACGCTTTCGGACAATGCCTTCAACGCAAATGACACTTTCCGCAGACAAGGATTGGATTTGCAACTTGAGTTGTTGATTGCCGTTACGAAAGACAAGCTGTGCTGTTCCAGAATGATCATACAAGGGTATAAAGATCAAATCTTGAGAAAGAGATCTATTTGGGGGCAATGTTTAGCATATATATGTAAATGTCAAATAATATTGTACCTTGTTGATTGCGCCCAACCACACAATACTACTTTTTCTCCTTCGTTGGATACGCTCAAGTCACTACAATAATGAGTTCGACTGGGGTAATGACCTTTTGTTTAAATCGTTACTTTAGTGTAAGCGATCTTCAAGTTAGTTTCCTACCATGGTGACGTCTGTCGTCTTTATAACCGTGCAAGTACTGTTCTTTTTGAGCCGTTGTGAGAGAAAATGGTCGATAGGCAGTGGGTGGTCTTAGTCTAAGAGTGGGTCTAGTCAGCAGTGGTCTACTGCTTAAAAATAAAACTCTACTCAAACGAGAATTCATTAAAGAAAAAAAAGAGAGAAGGGATCGCGGTAATAGAATAACATGATTTTATTTATACAGACAATAAACTATTATATTTACATATCAGAGCCACGAGCGTGTTCGACAATAACTCTAGCAGGCACACGACCTAATTCATCCCGAGTAGGTCTCAATACACCTTCTTCTTCTTCAGCAAAATTTTCGCCACGGACAAAGTGTCCTTGCAAGCCAGTAGGACCTGTTTCGTTTTTGCCAAACAAGCGATCCACCTCACCTTTGGCGGTGCTTAAGCTATCTTGAACCTTGCGTTCTGCCCATTGGATATCTTGACTAGCGGTATCCTTGACAGTAGAGAGCCCACTCTTGACTTGTTCTGTGCCCTTTTCGTACCAGCTCTTGGCCTTGTGCTCGGCCTGGTCCTTCCATCGGTCGGCATTTTCAGAGACTTCTCGATGAAGACCGTTTATGCTGCCACTCAAACGATTCTTTTGATAATTGTATTCATCGCTAGCTTCGCGCTTTAAGCGAGCACTTTCTTCCTGAGCAGAATCGTATGCATTGTTGGCTTTAGCAGAGGCGTGGTTCCACGTAGATTCAGCTTGATTCTTGACAGAGTTAACATCAGCATAAGCTCTATCCTTTGCACGGTCCCAGGTAGCATTCGCATCCTGCTTGAGACGGTCCGATTCAGCAGAAGCCGCGTGCTTGGCGTCGCCCCAAGCGCCGGAGAGTCTTTGAGCATCACGATGAGCAGTGGAGGCTGTGTCTTCTTTAGCATCATTCAACTTATCTTTTGCACTGTTCCAAGAAGCATCGGCTTCCTTTTCTTTAGACGAACCAAAGAGACTTGACCAGAAAGACTTCTTTTCTTCATTAGGAGAGTCAGTAATGTTAGGCTTGCTTCGCTTTTCCCAAACACTCTTAATCTTGTCCGTATCCTTCTCGACAAGGTTGCTTGTATCATGAATTACGTCATTTGCATAAGCTTCCATACGTTCGTCCTTCTCTGTCTTGGTCTTGCCCGGATAAAGCTTTTCATCTACCATGGGGTTACCCGTACTGGGGCGTTTTTCATTTGAGCCCGTGATCCAGCTGCTGAAAGAGCCCTTCTTGGTAGTGTCATCCTGAGCTTCTAACTTGGTTTTGGATGCACCGCTTGTTTGCTCGGTGTTGTTACCGCTCAACAAGTTATTCCAAAAGGAACTACCTTCGTTCTGTTCATTCACAGAGGCAGGCGTACGAGAGACTTGATCATCTTTGTCTTTGTTTTCCCAAACACCTTTCACCTTGTCCGTGTCCTTTCCGACTAAGCGACTGGTGTCCTTGTTGGTATCCTTTGAGCCTTGTTCAAGCTTAGATTCCCAGTCTGGCTTGCTTTTATCAGATGAAACTTTTTCGGCAACCATAGGGTTGTCTTGTGCTTTATGATTGGTTGTAGTATCATTGACCGTGTTTTTTACTTTCTTCTTTAAATCTGGAGGAAGGTCTATTGCTGTTATTAACATCATTCTTATAAAAAACCAATCAACTTACTGTCATCTTCATTTGCTTTCTTGTAGTAATAGTAACCACCAGCACCAAGAACTGCTAGACCAGCAAAGATAAGACCCTTACTGTCATTTGCTCGCAAGTCATTTTTGGCAACAACATAGTTTCTTCTTTGCATAAAACGCTGTTGTTTAATGGATCGAGTGAATAATTTTGAATACATTTTTTTTTATTATATGAAAAGAAATCAGAAAGAATGAACCAAAGAAAGCTTCTTTTATACAAGAAATAGCATAATAGACAATTGATATAATCATGACATCATAAAGCACAGTAAAACCCTTTGTTTTTTATTTTCTATCGGGGATTCAAGAATAATGTCATGATTGCAGAATGCATTTAAGCTTTTGGACTCCAATTAAGGAATCGAGTGAGAGGTGTTGTTGGAATCTCGAAAAATGAGTAGCCTAGATGATCATATGAGACTTTATTCGAATGATATGCTTTTTGTCTTACCTTTTCCTGCAATAAGGATATCAAGAAGAGGTTGGAATAGTTTTTCGTAATTCACGCTATCTACCAAACCAGGTTGTCCCTTTGACCAATCCTCTGTTTGTATTCCCCAATTGAGCATATCTTGTTTAGAAAAGATACAGGGAAACATGTCGAGAAGGGGACCAAAAATGTCAGGTTGACTTTCGGGAGCAACGTCCATGTCAGAGATCAAGTAATAAATCGGATAACGTCTTTCAACATGCTTGTGATAATCAACACAAGCATCCAACAATTCGCGTCTTTGAACAGAGTCAGTGATGGGGAAAGGACGACCACTGCCCAAAAATTCTGATAGCTTTGAGCGTTTGATGGGCATGGCTGCTGATACGGCTTGGTTAATGGGAATATCACCAAAGATCTCCAAGACAAGAGCATCCATAAGATCCTTCTTGGCCTGTTTACTGAGCTCGTTCATGCTTTTAGGTGCAGTCATGTCACTTTGAGGCGCTTTGCCGTCAACATCCAAGTGTTGGATCGTACCAGCACGAGCATCCAAGGCAACAAGTTTAGCAAGGTTCAAGATCAATGTGCTGTATTCAAATCCGCCGCCAAGCGCGCTTACAATCTTATTGGCTTGCTCCGTCATCTTTTGCATCTGATCGGGAACATTAAAATGCGTCTTCATCATTGCTTTTCGTAAACTCATCTGGATTTCTGTAGGAGGCGTTGTATAGCGAGCAGCTGAACTCAATGCGCCAAACTGAATCACTTTGGCGTTGATGGCTCGTAGCTGGTTGTCATAGAGCACAAACTTGAAGGGTTCTTTGGGCTTTTCATCATTTTGTTGTTTACTTAAAAAGTGGTTTTGTACCCAACGATACACAGATCCGTCGCTCTTTTTCTTGAGTGCTTCCATCGCAGGATCGACGTGTTCCCAATCGGTTCCGTTCTCCTTGAAAGTCATGACATCGATAACAGCTACATCCTCAGGTCGAACACTGCCTTCGGGTAAAGCGGATTCATGTACACCCCAGCCATGTCCTTGAGTACGTTCGATGATGCGAACCCCGTAATCTCGCTTGATAGCTTCCAAATCCATAATACTCGACCATGGTATCTCTGTCCATTCGTTTATCGTTTCACAGGGTTCTAGCTCGGTTCTCCAGTTGCGTTGATTGCTACTGCAAAGACTGCGAAGTATCTTCTTGTCTTGAGCTTCGTATCGCTTGGCAAGGTCTTCAAATGGCATCCAAGGGTATGATTTGTTGATTCTGAGCATGGGTGCAATGATCGTACGGTTTGTCTCTAGAGCAAGTCGGATACCGTTTCGGAAACACTCTTGTTGTTCAGGGAAATCGCTATTAGAATGGTCAGCTTGATAATCTAGAGTTGAACAGTACATGTATGTGTGATTACCTATGTGGGAACCATGACAGGTACTTTTCTTCGTTAGGATCAGCTTTTCTTGGTGGAGAAGAATGAGCAGATGGAGGTTGTTGTGGTGCATAAGGTGGGTTGATGACAGGTGATGACGTTGGCTTGAGTCGAGGGAATACACTTATAGAAAAGAATGCAAAGAATGCTATAAACAAAATATAAAATAGTAGCCGTTGGGCTCTTATCATTTTATATATTTATGTGTGTTTAATGATAAAGGGTTGGAGAATAAGAAAGAAAGAAAGGGGAGGGGGAACCAAAAAAAAAGACCTTAATGAGTCGGTGTCTGTAAATAAAAACGATGACAATCATCCTTGATTGGCTCATTTGAATTAGGCTGAGAGAAATGACAAGTCTTTATTCATGGTCTAAGGTACACTTTACTAGGAGTAAATGTCTAAACTCCAGAAGGAGAACCATGTTCGATACGGCGACAAAATGCTTGAGGTCTGCCACATCCACGAAGGATGCCATTGGCGACCTTGAAAATATTTTTTGAAGCGTTTATATCCCGTTGCCAAAGCAATCCACATCCTGTGCAAGATTGGATGCCGTGGAAGTTTACAAAAGCAGATGTGAACGCCAGATTTTCACAAGAGTTGCAGATCTATAGATAGTTAAGTAGGATATTCAAAATTAGAGAATAACGCTTTACCTTTGACGTTCGAAACTCATCAATTGTTA